TTTTTTTTTTTTTTTTGTTGCTGTGAGTGTTATACATTTGATATGACTGTGTTATGCCTAGTTGTGTGGTGACTTATTGTTCCATGTTTTGATTTGTGATATTTTTCCAAGTAATGTTACAACTCAACAAGCCACTAGGTCTAGCTTGTTCAATTCAACTTTGATTTAGCAAATTTCTCGTGCCGCTGAACGATTAATCAAACATGCCTAGTCTCCTTGCATTCTCAGGATGATTTTATTTCATTATCTCTATTTTGTTTATTTGTTTCTCGTTGGCGGTTTTGTGCATTTGAATTTTCTGGTAATGAGGTTGAGGTCTATTTCAATATTACTCATCAAAGTGAAATTTTGTTCTATTTTTATTTATTTTTTCTGTTAAAGAGGAAAATATGTTTGAAAGAGGGAATGAATACCGCCAAAAAGGAGAGGAAAATGAGAGTAACATATCCTTCTTTCAGGACTTAATAGTGTAAGGATAAAGAAGTTGATAGCTGATGCAGAACAAAGACCAACAATTTCATCTGTTTTCCTTTTTTCTTTGAATTATATTATGGCTTTGTGCATGCGCATGGGCGTTCCATTTCTTATGTATTTGGTATTTATTTTGAATTGTTATACATTTTGTTCTCTTATTTAATTTGGTGGGATACAGATGACTCTCTAATGCAAGTCCTTCCCCCCTTGATGTTTGTCTGCTTCATATTATCTCTAATATTTTTTTTTTTGTAAGTTCATTCCCTGCCTTGTATTATCAATCAAATATTGTAGTCTCAACGTGTATGTTTCTGCAAATTTTTGTTTGTTGTGTAATTTCTCATGACTGGGAATTGTTACAGATGTCTGTGAACCTTGTCCAAGTAATGGAGAATGCAATGATGGCAAGTTGCAATGTCTTCAGGGTTACCAAAGGCATGGAAACTTATGTGTAGAAGATGGAGATATTAATGAATCAGCTCGAAAGACTGTGTGTCCCTAAAACTTGATTTGTTGTGGTTTACTAGTTCTAGAAATAATTACTCTCTTATCTTTTCCTTGATCTTCTTTGTATTTTGTTTATATCTTTTTTATTGGCATTTGACCACAGGTGGAGAGAGTGGAACAACACCTTTGTGAAGAATATGCTAAACTTTTGTGCACTGGGATTGGAACAGTTTGGGTTAGTTTTCTCCCTTTTAACCCTTGGATTATGCAATTTACATGTATTTATTGAACGCTTGGCTGTATATATTATTGCCCAGTTGTTCTTACTTAGTGTTGTTGGTGTCAACTTCCTTTGTGTATTCACGTCTCAGGTTTGTGAGGATGATTTGTGGAATTATTTTGAGCCAGCGGGAAATGTCAAAGTGGACAATACTCTTTATAATTATACAAAACAACGGGCGGTTGAGACAATGGATAAATTACTGGAGACAAGGTTCAACAACTCCCGTGGGTATATCATTTTCTCTTGATTTTTAATCAAGTCAATAGTGGCTTTTAGTTACATGTTTTTTGAGAGGCTAAAACTTCTGCCTATGTCTTATACAGGATGAAGGAGTTTAAGTGTCCAGATCTGCTGGCAGAGCATTACAAGTCATACGCCTGCTGTATTCGTCAGTGGATCTCACAGCATATTCTAATTGTTTTGCCTATTTGTGTCATGGTATCCCTTTCCTAAAGGCATACTGTAATGCATATATTTCTGTCATCAATGAGTAAACATGTTAATTGTGTTCAGATTTAACAGCTTTTTGGATGCACAGCTTTGTTCTGGAACATACGAAAGAAACTATCCATGTCAAGACGAGTTGAGGAGCTTTATGATAAGGTATAGTAGGAGTGGGATACACACTAAGAGTCACAGGCACAAGTGATTATTATGCATTTCGTTAATGATTTTCCACAAGTGTGATTTTAACTTGTGATGAGAAATGCCTTTGATTAAGAATGTGTGGATGCTTAAAAAATCATAAATATATTCTGATAAAATACGTATGTTAGTTAGAGTTCATAAAATAGTATGACATCTGTTAGAGGGAAGTTCTGTGTGCAGTGACCATATGGTTCATATGCCCCACTTGTACAATTTGATATGTATTACAGTTCTTTAGACCTAGACTTGTGAAGTAATCCCTAATTTTTATTAGTGGTGTTTGGTTAAACTAGGATTCTGATCAATGCGGTGTGGGCTGATAATTCAGATGGTAAAGTAAGGCTATTATGTGTGTTTTTCTTTGAATAAATAGATAAATAAATTTGTGACTTTTGTCTCCTGTTAACTACAATTACATTTCCAACTGTTGTGCATAGGTTCTTTCAAACTAATTGTATCTTTATGTGGATTCCATCTGTGTTTAAAACTTCTTTGCTGCTGATGTTTTAGGTCTGTGAAATACTCGAAGATAATGCGTTGACATCAAAGAGTGCAAATGGTGAATGTGAACCCTGGGTTGTTGCTTCTAGGTTACGAGATCACTTGCTTTTGCCAAGAGAGCGGAAAAACCCTTTATTATGGAAAAAGGTAGTTTCAAAGTTATTTTGAAATTCATTGCACTATATTACCTTTTATCATAATAGTAATTAATCAAGCACCAAAGCAAAACAAAATGATTCATTTTGTCTGTATTAGTTGACTTTATGCTTCAGTTGGGCTTCTGCAGAAGTTACACTTGTTCATTGGCTGATTTTAGAATTAAGTTTAAGCATGGGATTTTTATGTGCTGAGATCCTGCTTTCTCATTCTCTATGCTCACCCACTTTTTGTTTAGGATTCTGCTAATGAGTGCCCTAGGGGAACTTTTTAAGGAATATCTAATATATCCTATTAAATGTTTTCAATTACTTAAAAAATATTAAAAATGATTTTCATGTTTTCAATGCAATAAGTGCTTTACTACTTTCATTTTCATTAAATACTTTCTACGTTTGTTTCCTTAACTAGTGACCTCCCTTAGGACATTGGTTTTGATTTGTCCTTTGTTTAACCTTTCACCGGAAAATAGTCATTGGATTTCAGTAAGGACAAAGTCATACTTTCTTATGGCACATCCTTGTAAATCAACATAGTTGGTTATTCTTTCTTTTTTTTTTCATTCCACTTATGATTGATGAAGGGTATCTTTGACTTCAACTATTTGTAGAGGTGCTGTTGATGAAATCACTTTTGTTCTGTAATTACAGTTAAATATTTCAATGGATAATTTTAAATTTACCAACGGATGGTTGCTTTTGTAATAACTGTTTGGGATTACAGGTAGAAGATTTGGTTCAAGAAGATTCTCGAATAGATCGCTATCCGAAGTTGGTGAAGGGTGAATCAAAAGTAGTATGGGAATGGCAAGGTACATGGCTGTCCTGGCAATATAATGAAATTCTATTCCATCGAGTAATATGTGCAATTAAAATACTGACAAGATTCTTATGAATTGCTGCTAGTCAGTCTTTTCATCTAACATTCCGATTACTTGTCTTAAGTATTACTAGGATTTATATTATATATATATATAAGTATTACTAGTGATTTATTTATTTTTCTTACCCTATACTCTACAGTTGAAGGCTCTCTGAGCGCCTCAAAGATGAAGAAAAGAAAAGATGCGAGCCAAACGAGTGTCAATGAAAGCATGGACCTGAATCATCAACAACGCCCTGCAATGAAAACAGGTCAGTGATTATATTAATAATAGGGTTAAATATCTTTTTCGTGTCTATAAATATGTAAAAGTTGGTTTGTAGTCCCTCAAGTATAACAATTTTGTTCTCGTTGCAAATTCTCTTAATCTATTTTAATAGTAACGAATAACGATGAGTCACCAAACACATCATACATGTATGCTAATTTAAAGGCTTAAAAACTGTAGTGTTGACTGAACATCATTGTTAAATAGAGTAAAGTTGGTGACAAAGATAAAATGTGACACATGTTAAAAATAAGGCTAAAAAGAAGCTTTTGCATATTTATATGGACGAAAAAGATGTTCAATCCTTAATAATATATGCTTTACATCATGCTTGTTTTGTGATGTACTAAAATTGATTTGTTGTGGTATCAATTTGATGCAGAGTCTGTGGAACCAGTTTTTTGATCTGGAGACTCCTCCGAACAGTAACTACTTTCTCTTGTAATTTATGGCGTCCTAAACTCGTGTCACAGCTATAGTGCGGTCTTATCTCGTTCGCATTAAGCGTGGATAAACTTATCTTGTCTATGTTTACAGCAGCAGAGGGCAATATGAGCGGCATCGGTTGTAAGTGTGGCCTGCATTTTTTATTAAGCATTTTTCACCAAAATAAGTGTAGATTCCTTAGGTAGGAAAATCATGTCCTTGAAACTCCTTAAATCCATGGATCTCGATTGACGGCTAACAAACTAGGTATGTAGTAGAGCTAACTAAAGTTAATTAAGCATTTTTTTTTTCTTTTGAAAGACAATCTAATACATTAAAGCATACAAAGAATGGTATAAATATATTGTAGTGAAGTTGAGGCATATGGATGTGATTAGATTGTACATGAATTCGGCCCCTTAACATAATCTAATAATCTAACCTGTGTAGTATTCTGCCTGTTAATTTTATATTAACTCGATCATTCATCAACGATTGTGTGATTTTAGTTCATCATATTTTAATTGAGTAATTTTAATTTTTTAAATATTACAATTGTGTGTTCTTAAATTTTTAATTGACAGTTTTAACTTTTAAAATACTGCATTTGTGTGATTTTAGTTTTTTTAAGTATAGCAATTATACAAATTTTTATCTATTTAAGTTACATATATGAGTAGTTTTAGTAATAATAAATATATATTATGTAATACATGAATAAAAATTGTTATATACCTAACTTATATAAGTTAAAAATTGTATAATTGCAATATTTAGAGACTAAAATCGTATAATTATGATATTTGAGAAATTAAAATTATTTAATTAAAATATAGGAGGATTAAAATTACATAATTGTGATAAATGAGATTAAAATTATTCAATTAAAAATATTAAGAACCAAAATCATCCAATTGTAATATTGGAAGGATAAAAATGTAATTAAGTCATTTTTTTATTATTAAAGTAATATTATATCAAATATATTTATGTAATGAAACATGTATTTCAAACTAAACCAAATATAATTATTTTGAAGCCAAACTTGTGCCACGATTGGACGAAGTGAAAATTATTTTACTTCTTTACAACGTATGTGGAAAATGTAAAAGGCCCATTTCGAAGTAAAGAATTTAAGCCAATCAATAGAACATGAATTACATGAATAAAGTAAGTTAAACAATTAAATATAAATGTTTTGATGAAAATGATGGCAATTTGACATCCTCTAATTTACAATGATGTAATCAATATATATATATATATATAT